CTCAACCTACAAACAAACTGAAATGATCCAAATCTGAGGTCATTAAATGTTACATGACTGTGTGAGACCTCCTGAACGTTTCTGATGTTCAGGTCCATGTAACGTGTGCGCTTTTATTCTTCACTCTTATTCTTCTTTATTTCATTAAACACTGACAGTTTTAGATCGTTCTTTGCACTACACAAAGCCAAGTACAATTCAGACTACCAGCTGCTTCATTCATTAGTCCAGTAATCCAAGAATAATTGGCAAATAGAATATAACAAATAATCGATCAGTAGAGTCTGTTTGTGTGAATGAACTGGCTCCAGCTTCTCTAATCTGTTGGCTGTTAATAATCTGAAGAGCCTGTTTCACTGTTTCTATCAGTTTGTTTCAAATGAAACAAACCTGAAATTATATTAGATTATTAATTATTAGATTAAAATGATTACTAAATATATATATTTATAATGAATTAATCTGTGTTATGTAGTAATTCTTTATAAACTATTCAAACTAAAAACACTTTTCTGTCTGGAGTTTTTACATTTCAACATTTTCTTAAAATCCAGTTAGTTCTGCAGAGACAGACAAAAACAGAGTCCTGCAGTCTTACCTGTCTGTCCTCTGTCCTCGGTCTCTCCTGTCTCAGCGGCGGTTGCAGCGTTCAGTGAGCTCTGCAGCGCTCACGGCTTGTTATCATCTGTTTACTCCGTCACCATGGCGACACCCTGTCCCACATCAGGGGAGGGCAATAAAACAGAGGGAGGGAGGAAAGGAGGAGGGGAGGAGTGCTGGTCCTCCTGCAGGGCTTCCATGCAGGCTCCTGTCAGCTCCCGGAGCTGGAGGTCAGAGGTCACAGGTCGGATGGGGACCTTTCAAAGGCCACATGCTGTGTTTTAACAGCAATAAATCATTATATAATCATTATTTATAAACCGCTTCACGTCTGTCATCGAGGGGAAATAATCCACAGATCTCTTCAACTTCAGTCACAGTTTATTTATTTAGCTCGTATAATTATCAAAAATCTGTTTACTAAAGTCTGTGAATGGAAAAAAAATCATTGGAGAATATCTTCAGCCCCCGTGGGTCTAACTGGCCCCTGTGGGTCTGCTGGCCCCCATGGGTCTAACTAGGCCCCACGGTGCAGCTACAAAGAGCAGGTCCTGACGGGTTCACCTGGAGAACACAGCTGCTCTCTGAGTTTAAATAACATCACATGTAATCTGGAGCCGTCGTCATGACAACAGAAACACAAACAATGACAGCATGTGTACCAGTGCGCTCAGCTATAACAGACAGGAAGTGCATCTGACAGGAAGTGCTTCACTGTGCTCGAGAGGTCTGACAGGAAGATGGATGTGAAACTCCAGATTAAAGGCAGACGGATCAGATGTGAGGGGAGAAGCTCAGAAACCTGAGATACTCAAACAGTAAACATGAAATCATGTCTCCAGGGACCAGGAGTCACATGACCATCAGAAGCACAAAATCAACACGCTGATCCCTTAACTTCCTGAACAGCTGATTATTCACTCTTCATCACATGTGAAACTTTTATTTATTTCTTTATGTACAAAAATGTTTTCTCAAACTGCTGTTTCAGACGTTTCAGGTCGGCCGAAAACCCTGTTTTAGTTTCCGGGGTAGAGTGTCAGTGCTGACAGGTGAAAACGATCAGTCAGTTTTATTAAAATACTTTGTACTGAGTATATAAAACTTATACACTTGTGCTGTGCATGTCTCCATATTTACTTTGTGACGACTCCCAGTCTGTTTCCTGCTGCCACAGTCTCTTTGTCCTCCCGTGATCCTCTCAGTAACAGTTCCACCTCGCTGTCGGTCCATGCAGATAAATCTCTGCTGTGGTTCTTCACCGTCGCTGCTCTTCGTTTGTCTCTAGTAGAACTTTCTTCTTTAGCTGAATCTTCTGCAGCTGCGGAGTAGACAATCTGCTTCCTGTTTACACAGGCATGCACATGCTCAGTGTACGTGATGTGCGTTTTCTGCTGTTTTAATATAGACGGAGATCAGTTCTGATACGCAGCTAAAACGCTGGTGTGGATGCAGATCGCTGTGTGGTTTCCACCTCCCTCACAGATGCCACCTAGTGGTTGTTGGTGCACACAACAGCTCCTGGGTGTTAGAATTAAAATGTAAATTAACTGAGGGGCCCTCTGGTTGCAAAGAGGAACGTATCTGGAGCCGTCCGTTCAGGATACATTCGGAGGAAGCTGGCGGCAAACCAGCCAGAGAATGAAGTATAACTCAAGTAGATGCTTTATCTTATCTATACACGTTGGATCATGCTTCTTTTCCCTCTACCAGATTCTCCAGAAACGCATCAGAATAACAGAAACTCCAGCATCCCTCTCAACAGCAGCTGCTCCTGCAGCGTTTCCCGTTCTGCTGTAGAAACATGTCAGAGGACGGAAGCTCAGCTGGCAGCGCTGAATCAGGTGAAGTGTGAGCAGCCTCCCACTTTAACGTGTGAAGGCGTCACACTACATGTTTACACACTTGTTGAGCTCCATGGCTTGCCTTAGTTACATGACAAAAACCTTTATAAAGCTCCAGCACGCTCCTGCACCTGGTTTATTTTAGTTCCATCAGTGGGTTACAGATCAAACACTGGAAAACAGTTCCAGGCTCAACTGGATTGCTGCCAGAGAACACAGAGTGTGAGAACGTGAGCGGGTTTTACTGAAATTGTGGGGACATGAATCAGTCAGTTAGTCTGAGGGGACATGAATCAGACAGTCAGTCTTTCTGTCTGTGGGGACATGAATCGGTTAGTCAGTCTGTGGGGACATGAATCGGTCAGTCAGTCTGTGGGGACATGAATCAGATAGTCAGTCTGTGGGGACATGAATCGGTCAGTCAGTCTGTGGGGACATGAATCAGTTAGTCAGTCACTCTGTGGGGACATGAATCAGACAGTCAGTCTTTCTGTCTGTGGGGTCATGAATCAGACAGTCAGTCTTTCTGTCTGTGGGGACATGAATCAGTTAGTCAGTCTGTGGGTACATGAATCAGCCAGTCAGTCTGTGGGGACATGAATCAGATAGTCAGTCTGTGGGGACATGAATCAGTTAGTCAGTCACTCTGTGGGGACATGAATCAGACAGTCAGTCTTTCTGTCTGTGGGGTCATGAATCAGACAGTCAGTCTTTCTGTCTGTGGGGACATGAATCAGCCAGTCAGTCTGTGGGTACATGAATCAGCCAGTCAGTCTGTGGGGACATGAATCAGATAGTCAGTCACTCTGTGGGGACATGAATCAGTTAGTCAGTCACTCTGTGGGGACATGAATCAGTTAGTCAGTCTGTGGGGACATGAATCAGACAGTCAATCTGTGGGGACATGAATCAGTTAGTCAGTCTGTGGGGACATGAATCAGACAGTCAATCTGTGGGGACATGAATCAGTTAGTCAGTCTGTGGGGACATGAATCAGATAGTCAGTCTGTGGGGACATGAATCAGTTAGTCAGTCACTCTGTGGGGACATGAATCAGACAGTCAGTCTTTCTGTCTGTGGGGTCATGAATCAGACAGTCAGTCTTTCTGTCTGTGGGGACATGAATCAGACAATCAGTCTGTGGGGACATGAATCAGATAGTCAGTCAGTCTGTGGGGACATGAATCAGTTAGTCAGTCTGTGGGGACATGAATCAGACAATCAGTCTGTGGGGACATGAATCAGTTAGTCAGTCACTCTGTGGGGACATGAATCAGACAGTCAGTCTTTCTGTCTGTGGGGTCATGAATCAGACAGTCAGTCTTTCTGTCTGTGGGGACATGAATCAGACAATCAGTCTGTGGGGACATGAATCAGATAGTCAGTCAGTCTGTGGGGACATGAATCAGTTAGTCAGTCTGTGGGGACATGAATCAGACAATCAGTCTGTGGGGACATGAATCAGTCAGTCAGTCAGTGGTGCAGTCTTCAGCACGTAACTGACTATTTACATTCCACACTCACTGTCTTCCCCTCCCCCTTCCTGTTTCTCTACAGGCCACTGCCCTGAGGCACTAGCCCCTCCTACTGTTCTCCCATGAATCTGTCATCTTTACCATATTTCTTTCCCATTGAGACTTTGGTTACTGAAGCCGCCCTTTTTCAAGTGAAACGCTCTGTTTTGCATAGCAGATCAGACCCTCGCTTCCTGCGCCCCCTGGCCCGGCCTTCCACTAGTGCTTGCAGAGGGCCTGCACCCCTGAGGATGGCCCTAATAAATGCTCAATCCATTAGAAATAAATTGTTTATATTGAAAGATTTTTTTTCACCAGCACGGACATTTAATGTTTTTGACTGAAACCTGGCAGAGAAGCATGGAAAAGGGCCCGTTGATTGAATTATGTCCACAGGATTGTTCTTTTATCAGCACTTCCAGGACCTCTGGCCGGGGTGGAAATCTCGCGATGGTTTCCAAAAACTGCTTTCAAATCCGGAGGGTGACCAAAGGGTTTTTTTCTTCAATTGAATTACAAGTGACCAAAGTGGGTTATTCTAATCCATTTTAATGCATCTTAATTTATTGACCGCCTGGTTCTAAAAGCTCTATTATGTCTGATTTTAGAGATTTTTTATTTATTTATTTATAGAGAGTAACTATTATATGGTTGGACAAAGTGGTTATGATTGGTGATTTTAATTTTAATTTCACATTGATGATGCCTCCTGTAGTCTAGATATCTATATCTCTATATATCTATCACACACACATACATACATACGTAAAGGTTTCCCTGCTGGTTCAACAGGAAGTCTTCATCCTCTTTACTGATTACCATCAAAGCTTCAGGAAGTTCCTGCATCCTGAGTAAACGGATGTTTGTTCTAACCTCTCTGCATTCTGGGACTTTGTGGACTTTTCAGACCGTCTCTCTGGTAGAAGTTATAGAAGTTAAACCTACTGCGAGTCAGTGACAGTGACGTGCAGCAGGGACACGATGCATGATGGCCTCAACACGTTCCTGTCAGGCTGGAAACAAACGCTGGAACAACTGAAGGTAGTGTAAGAAACTGATCAGTTATTGTCATTTATTGATAAACAGGTGAAAAAATCATCAAAGGAAACCATAGGGGAAACATGGTGTGTGAAGCAGCTGGACAGAGCATGTGTAGACACAGGAACAGTGAAATCCTCTTCAGCCACATCTTAGCTTAGCTTAGCGTAAAGACTGGACACTGGGGGAACCAGCTAGCCTGACATGTGACGTCTGAACAACAGCTGAAGTGTGAAAACCACAAGGGACCAGGCGAGCAGGTTAACAGGGTCAAACCCTGAGCTGCAGTCTGCAGCGTGGCAGCGAGGGGGCGCCATACAAACAGAGGCCGGAGGCTTGTGATTAGCTGAGAGGAAGAATTACTTAACAATGCTTTTTAAAATAAAAATATATAACAAGTGAAACAATGTAGTAAAATGTTTTAGTCAAAAGTTTAAAATTGTAATTATTTTGTGTAACTTATGTTTTAATTACATGTTTTACTTTATTTCATGTAATTTATTTAACGTCCTTTAGGAGACGTTGGCCGTCTGAACAGGGAGAGGCTCATGTGCATGCTACGCATTAGCATTATTGTTGCTGTGTTGTGGAACTGAAGCTGGACAGGAGGTGATGTCGTCTGGCCCTGGGTTACCATGGAGACTCGGTTCAGCTTTAAGGTTTCCAGCTTTTATAAAATCATCTAAAGGTTGTGCAGACGGAGCTTTGGCGTTCAAAGGAAAAGGTCAGAACCAATAAATAGTCAGAGATAGAAAATAAAGTGTGCTCGGGTTAAAGCTCCATCCAGGAGGCCGCACCCGAACCCAGAGACGCCCGAGATGCTGGTCTGGATCCGGGCTTGGAGGCAGTCTGCTTCCTGCCCAGACTGAGGCCTCCCTCCCGGGGCTCGGCGGCCTCTCCGCTGGCTCGGCTGACAAACGCCGTGGGGGGGTAGGCGGAGGCCATCTCAAACCTCAGCACTGCTGCGCTTTTATTTGCGCGGGAGGAGGAGGCCTTCCTCTTAGTCCTGAGGTGGGGGGAGGGCAGGGGGAAGACCGGGACGGCTCTGTGTGAGGATGAGGAGGCGTCTCCGGCAGCAGAGGATGAAGAGCCCAGTTTGGCCAGCACCACAGGGATCTCCTCCAGAGACTCCGCCGAGTCCGAGTGGTACTCAGCAGGAGGGGCAGCGGCCTGCATGGGGCCCAAGGTGGGGGCCAGGGGGGGCAGGGAGGCCCTCAAAGGGAACGCTGGGAAAGGAAGTCGCTGACCCAGGGACACAGTGGACACAGTGCTGAATTCTGCTGAGGACGACACAAAATCAAGAGAAAGAACATTAAATGACATTCTGTGAATCAAAAGAAACAGAAGCTAAGAAACACGAGCATGAGCAGCGAGAGTAGGCGGGAGCAGCGAGAGTGGCGAGAGCGGTGAGAAGCGAGAGCAGGCGGGAGCAGCGAGAGTGGCGAGAGCGGTGAGAAGCGAGAGCAGGCGGGAGCGGCGAGAAGCGAGAGTAGGCGGGAGCGGTGAGAAGCGAGAGCAGGCGGGAGCGGTGAGAAGCGAGAGCAGGCGGGAGCGGTGAGAAGCGAGAGCAGGCGGGAGCGGTGAAAAGGGAGAGTAGTTACTTTAAGAGGTATCGAGTAGCGATAACCAGCCCCATTCATGACTGACGGCCACAAAGCGAACAGCCAACACATTCTCATCCCTACTCGTCACATATGGAAGCTTGGTTGGTCAGACCTCTGGACGTCACTTTAACGCCCTGGGTACCCTTTAGTGTTTATGCACGTATGGTGCTCCGCAGTCATGTTAGCAACATTACATATGCAACGTCCGGTTAGACTTTCAAAATAAAACTAGTTGCGAAACTGCAATATGGCTAGACTTTGGCACCAAAACCACTTTTGGTTTAGGAAAACATCATGGTTTGAGTTAAAAACATGGGAAACAAACACCCTTGTCCTGTGTTTAAATCCGGTTACAAACTGACGCCAGCGGGTGTTGCCCATGTGTCTATATGTGACGGCTTTGTAGTGAGAATGGGTTGGAATAACAAAGGGGAGAGGAAACATCATCTTTTCTCTCTCTGCACGTTATGATGATGATGATGATGATGATGCATCCAAAGCCCCATCTGTTCCCAGCTGTTTCTGTTCCTGTGAGACTCGCCACCTTTGTTTCCATGTCCTCTAACCTGCTGGCTGTGTTGGCCCCTTGCATGGCAGCCACAGTGTGTGAATGTGACATGTAAAGACTAAAAGGGGCCCTTGTTCCAGTATAGCTCGGTGCACCTCATGTTTAGAGGATCTGTGGTTTTAGATGCTCGGTGGTTTTAGACGCTCAGTGCACCTCATGTTTTAGACACTCGGTGGTTTTAGATGCTCGGTGCACCTCATGTTTTAGATGCTCGGTGTGCCTCTTGTTTTAAATGCTCAGTGGTTTTAGACGCTCAGTGCACCTCTTGTTTCCAGTAAGCGGTTAGGCTGAGGCTGGAGGCCAGGGGTTCACTGAGGGCCTCAGAAGTATAGAAAAGGTGCGTACCGGGGGGCGGGGCTGTGCTCGGGCAGCGTTCTCTGGTCACCGCTGCTGGAACTTTACGGACCTTCTTTTTCTGTGAAAGAACAAAAACACAAACCGGATGAGATCGGTCTCACTGTGTACTACTGCACTGTTTACCTGTGTGCGTCGGTGTGTGTGTGTGTGTGTGTGTGTGTGTGTGTGTGTGTGTGTGTGTGTGTGTGTGTGTGTGTGTGTTTACCTGTGTGCGTCGGTGTGTGTGTGTGTGTGTTTAGGTGTGTGCGTCGGTGTGTCTGTATGTGTGTGTGTGTGTTTACCTGTGTGCGTCGGTGTGTCTGTGTGTTTACCAGTGTGCGTCGGTGTGTCTGTGTGTGTGTTTAGGTGTGTGCGTCGGTGTGTGTGTGTGTGTGTGTGTGTTTACCTGTGTGCGTCGGTGTGTGTGTGCTGCTGCTGCTGCTTTTGGCTCTGTAGACACCGTGGGTGGAGATTCTTCCTCCATGACAGGAGTGGACACAGTCCTCGCTCGGCCGTTAGCCTGGAACCTGACACACACACACACACACACACACACAGATTTCTGGTGTGACTGCATGGAAAGCAGCTCTGATTGAACACTAATCATTATTATGTCACTTCATTGATTAATTAAAGCGATAATTCTTCTGATTGTTGCAGCTGCAAAGTAAATATAATAAACAAATAAGTGACACACAAATTAGCACAAGCATGCTGAACGTAGCAACATTTTTATTTTATTTTTTTATTGTGCCACTCACGTCTGTGAAATTTAAAAGATTATTTTGCGAGTCAACAAAAGTCGCAGTTTGTCATGTTGCCATTTAGTCTGATGGGAAAACGCTCAGGGAACTACTTTATCTTATTTTTGTCTTTTGTCTTATTGTCTTGTCTTATTGCCTTGCTGTCTTATTGTATTGTTGTCTTATTGCCTTGTCTTATTGTATTGTTGTCTTATTGTCTTGTCTTCTTGCCTTGCTGTCTTATTGTATTGTTGTCTTATTGCCTTGCTGTCTTATTGTATTGTTGTCTTATTGTATTGTTGTCTTATTGCCTTGTCTTCTTGCCTTGCTGTCTTATTGTATTGTTGTCTTATTGCCTTGTCTTATTGTATTGTTGTCTTATTGTCTTGTCTTCTTGCCTTGCTGTCTTATTGTATTGTTGTCTTATTGCCTTGCTGTCTTATTGTATTGTTGTCTTATTGTATTGTTGTCTTATTGCCTTGCTGTCTTATTGTATTGTTGTCTTATTGCCTTGTCTTATTGCCTTGCTGTCTTATTGTATTGTTGTCTTATTGTCTTGTCTTATTGCCTTGCTGTCTTATTGTATTGTTGTCTTATTGTATTGTCTTATTGCCTTGCTGTCTTATTGTTTTGTTATCTTATTGTCTTGCTGCCCCCTCACCCCCGCAGTCTAGTAAAGCTCCATCTGTCAGCAGCAGAGGAGGTTCGGTGAGTTATTTCTGAAGACTGTTCTGTTGGACTCACACACACACACACACACACACACACACACACACACACACACACACACACACACACACACACACACACACACACACACACACACACACACACACACACACACACACACACACACTCCCTCCCTCCCTCCCTCCCTCCCTCCACTCATACACACACACTTTGTTTGCTTCCTGGAAATCACGGCCAAAGAATTTCACTCTGCACACTCTGTTTTCTGCAAAGAAAACCGTGTCCATGGAGACCCAGGTCCGGCCTCTGTGTTATGAACTGACTGTAGTAGGCTGTTTACTGAAACAGGACCCGGTCAGCCTCAGCCAATCACAGCAGGCCGTGGGCTGGACCTGGACCACCACAGAACGCTGGGTTTAATTAACTTTTAATGAGGTGCGTAAACAGGATCAGACCATCAGGACCAAGCAAAGACTTACTCTGCCTCTCCCCGCACAGCCACAGTGGTAGGTTCCTGCATGTCCAGCTGAGGGTTGGTGTAACCCAGAGTCCCTGAGTAGTTCACGTCCTGAGGGGGGACAGCAGAGGACAGTTTGATAAACAGAGTGTGAGCTGCCTTTATCAGACGCAGGCAGATGTGTTATTAGTTCTACTTTTTCAGAATTCATTCATGTTAAGTGAGTCTGAATATACTGCGCTGTGAATAAAGAGGCTGATGGTGACACAAGCTGCATTCAGTCTGGATTTCTGTGTTCTGTTTGTCCAGAGCTCGGATGTGGTTCAGTTATCATGGCCAGTAATAATTACAGCCCAACTGTTAATGACAGAGGGCTCAGACAGTCATGTGATTTGTGACTTTGGACTGTGTAAATAAAAATGCCTGACTTATAGACACGACAGATGAAGCCGCAGCTCCTGTGAAGGGACTGTTTCAGTACTCAGATGAAGAAAAGCAGACGAAGACGATGCCGAAGCTTCAAACGTCTCTGCTGCTTCAGAAAGATTCATTCAGGTTGGAAACGATGTGATCAGCGGGAGAAGAAGACAGGAGATCAGCTGAGAGACGCTCACCACAGACGTTATCATAGATATGAGAACATTTTCTCCTGTTATTAAGTAATAATGTAATAACAGTAATCTGCTCATTTAATATCACAGTCCACAGTGGCACTCAAACTAAACCGCACAACTGAGCTGATTACATATTTCCTGTCCGCGAACATGTTGTCTATCTAGGCTCTTTGGTCTGCGCTTTTTTGCAATAAGAGGCGTCTTTTTCCACTTGTTTTCTACTGCAGTGAATGTTCTGCACGCTGCTAACGCGCCCTGTGCATCTCTGGTTTTAGACATTCGGTGGTTTTAGATGCTCGGTGCACCTCATGTTTAGACGCTCAGTGCACCTCATGTTTAGACGCTCGGTGCACCTCTTGTTTAGACGCTCGGTGCACCTCTTGTTTAGACGCTCGGTCGTTTTAGATGCTCGGTGCACCTCATGTTTAGAGGATCTGTGGTTTTAGATGCTCGGTGGTTTTAGACGCTCAGTGCACCTCATGTTTTAGACACTCGGTGGTTTTAGATGCTCGGTGCACCTCATGTTTTAGATGCTCGGTGTGCCTCTTGTTTAGATGCTCAGTGGTTTTAGACGCTCAGTGCACCTCATGTTTTAGATGCTCGGTGCACCTCATGTTTTAGACACTCGGTGGTTTTAGATGCTCGGTGCACCTCATGTTTTAGATGCTCAGTGCGCCTCTTGTTTAGATGCTCGGTGCGCCTCTTGTTTTAAATGCTCAGTGGTTTTAGACGCTCGGTGCGCCTCATGTTTTAGACGCTCGGTGCGCCTCATGTTTTAGATGCTCGGTGCGCCTCATGTTTAGACGCTCGGTGCGCCTCATGTTTAGATGCTCGGTGCGCCTCATGTTTAGATGCTCGGTGCACCTCTTGTTTAGATGCTCGGTGCACCTCTTGTTTAGACGCTCGGTCGTTTTAGATGCTCGGTGCACCTCATGTTTAGAGGATCTGTGGTTTTAGATGCTCGGTGGTTTTAGACGCTCAGTGCACCTCATGTTTTAGACACTCGGTGGTTTTAGATGCTCGGTGCACCTCATGTTTTAGATGCTCGGTGTGCCTCTTGTTTTAAATGCTCAGTGGTTTTAGACGCTCAGTGCACCTCATGTTTAGACGCTCGGTGCACCTCTTGTTTAGACGCTCGGTCGTTTTAGACGCTCAGTGCACCTCATGTTTTAGATGCTCGGTGCACCTCATGTTTTAGACACTCGGTGGTTTTAGATGCTCGGTGCACCTCATGTTTTAGATGCTCAGTGCGCCTCTTGTTTAGATGCTCGGTGCGCCTCTTATTTTAAATGCTCAGTGGTTTTAGACGCTCGGTGCACCTCATGTTTTAGACGCTCGGTGCGCCTCTTGTTTAGACGCTCGGTGCGCCTCATGTTTTAGATGCTCGGTGCGCCTCATGTTTAGATGCTCGGTGCGCCTCTTGTTTAGATGCTCGGTGCACCTCATGTTTTAGATGCTCGGTGGTTTTAGACGCTCAGTGCATCTGATATTTTAGACGCTCGGTGCGCCTCATGTTTAGAGGCTATGAGGAAATGATTCTACTTCTCTGCTGATTTATTCCCTCAGTAAACACTTTCCTGATGAGTTTATGGTCTCAGTCACTAGTTTCAAGTCTTCTTCAACACAGCATGATGTTCATTTAGTAAATTATGGTCCCATTTAGAGGAACATAGATCAGAAACCAGACTTTAGGGCGGGGCTACAAGCTGATTGACAAGTTGCTACCATGGCGACCTGTCAATAAGGATAGAGGCGACTTGTATCTGCTGCTCTGTGTACATTTAACCAGCGCCGCTGAAAAAGCTCATCAGGAGTCGGCTGGTAATTTTTCAGGAAGTACGTTTTGTTTTAAGTCCGTTTGTTGCTAGCCAAAATTAGCATCCCAGCTAATATCACAGTTAACGTAACGCTAGCTAGCTCCGCCCTCACATCCAAATATGGTCACTTCTGGTTACAAAAAAAAAAAAAGCCAAATGCCAAACTGGAGGCTTGAAAACAGCGGTCCACAAACCAACAGGTGACGTCACAGTGGCTACACCCACTTCCTTTATACCATCTGTGCCCTCAAAAAGAAGAGTAACATTACCACCCCCTGGCCCAGGAGCTTCGCCTGCATGATGGTCAGACAGATAGACCCATAGAAAGATAGACATACCTTGACAAGGTTAACCGATGGAGCCGCTGTCTCCTTCACTGATCCTGGTTTCCTTGAGTCTCTGCGGTCCTGACGGTGACGCTGGCGCACTATATATTCATAGGTACTAAGTCTGTTCCACACTGCACACAAACACACAGTAATGTTTAGTTGTTTACACATTCAGTCCCTCTACCTCCACCTACTGTCTTGTTTCAAAGATTGCCGCATCAAATATGTTTTGTAATGTTTTTAAGTTTTGTTTTTTTTTTCTTTTTTGGGAAAAATATCGTGCTGCACAAACACTGCACTGGGAAACTGGAACAATTACATTATTTATATATATATATTTAATCATATATCATTCATTTATTTTCTAAAGCACAATGTTTGGCTAGTCCATATATCAGATATAAGAGATGTGTTCATGTGACAAACAGTCATGTTTATGCTAAGTGTTGTTTCTATTGTGTTAGATAATCTTTAACAGCCGGTTTCTCAAAATTAAATGTTTCCTGTCCACCGAGTCATTTTCCTCGCCCTTCAAGGCAGTTTCATCATTTTACACACAGTTTCTTACAGCGAGACATTTACAGATGGGTTTTTAAATCTGTTTAGCATTCTTGTTTGTTGTGTAAATATGTGAAAGGAAATAAGGTGTGTTTGTTGTTTCTTACTCAGGTAGACGTGGAAGCAGAGCAGGTGACAGAGCAGCACAGACGACAGCAGACCCAGAGCGATGGTGACAGCTGCCAGAACCGGAATCACTGCTGCTGCTGACCTGAGGGGAGCCACCGGCAGGAAGACGAACCACACACCTGTCTCGTTCCTCACTGCAGGAGAGAGACGCAGGTCAGACATGCACACCTGTCTCTTCCTCACTGCAGGAGAGAGACACAGGTCAGACATGCACACCTGTCAGGTCTTACCCAGGAAGTGTTTGTCAGTGCGGAGTTTGGACGGGTCCAGAAAGAACTCAATGAAGACGTAGGAGGCAACGACCAGAACCAGACAGACCCCCAACAGAGCCGAGATCACGCTGTGGAGGAACAACCTGCAGGTACACAGTCAGGACAGCACTACTGATGACACGCAGCACGACTGATGACACGCAGTACTATTGAGCACAAATAGTACTACTGATTACATGCAGTACTACTGCAACACAGAATCAACATTATATTTTACAGGTGTGTATCTCTGAGGACTTGGACACAGACAAAGACTGGACCACTCCAGGAAACATAGTTTAGATTTATTTATGGATCATCAGAATGCGGGAGGTGTCATGGAGAAAATGGAAACCTGCCCTTGATTTAATATCCTATCAACCTCCTCCACCTTTAATATTAATGTATAAATACTACAATTAATATGAGATTACAACATGACTGAACAACCACCAAAATCCAGATTTAAAGTTCTGAATTGACCAAATGTTAAACTCATCTGAGCCTCGGTGCTCAAACACCGTTTCTGCCCTGGGCATCGCCTCTCAGGTTCACACAGGCCGACCTTATGGGGAAGGTCCATCCTGTGAGGAATCCCTGCAGACGCTACTCAGGGCTAAAAGAGAAAAAGTGTTTCAACCACGTTTCTCAGGTTAAAAATAAATAAATCTGTATTTTTAGACAACACCACCACCATTCCCCAGCGTGCTGTGAACATGATCTCCTAGCTTCAGTTATCAGGAACCAGTGAGGCTTACACAGTATTTCTTATTATTACTATATTAAGTGTTGTTGGCTTTGATTCTTCTTATTATATTGGGTCTTGACGACGCCTCCTGGGCCCTGGAGGCCAGAACCACAGAAGGAGAGACAGACTCACTTGTAATTCCTGCTCCCCACACAGTTGTTGAGCCACCGACAGTGATGGTCAAAGTTGGCAACACACTTGTTACAGGCACTGCAGTGTTTGGACTTCGGACCGCTGAAACAGCACAAGACACAAACACAGGCATCATATGGTGAGTTCAGGGACAGTCAGGTTTTTAGCCCCGTCTGTTCTACAGATCTGAGGAAGTCACATCCAACTGATGAAAAGATACACAGATCTGATATATTTTTAATTATCATTAAATATATAATAATAATAAACATTTTGGTGATAATCGCCGGACACACAACTATGGATTTGCCTCAGTTCCTGTCCACAGAGATCCTGATCCATGACTGATCCTGTAACAGAATCATTTAAATAGTAATTTACAAAAAAGAAATCTTTATGGTCTAAACACAAATAAAACTAATAAAATAAAAAGTCTGACTTCTTTGCAGCAGCCTGAGGATGTTTTGTGCCCCTCTCCTGGACCGTGGACCATTCCTCTGACCCAGATCTCTCAGGGCCTCCTGGGAGAACCCAGCCCACTGACCTGGTTTTCTGAGGCTTTACGTGCAGCTCAGAGTGCTTCAGAGAGCACTTTCATTATTCACAGCGTGTAGAGGAACTGCTGCATTAAACATGTGACTCTACACGTCTACATGTTCAGCAGACATCAATCACTTCACACTAATGTGTCTCTCCTCTTCCCTCTGCTGCAGGGGTTTATGTTCTGACTGTCATTCCACGGTGCTTAGCCTAAATGCTAACCTTAGTCACACCAGGTTAACAGGAATATTAACTTCTTCTGTTGAGGCACCAAGTGTGAGCTCAGTGGGCTGTATGGGTGAAGGATTATGGGGAAAGAGGAGTCTGTGAGTGGCCCGCCTCCTCAGTAACACAAAAGTATTATTTACACACAATAACTGGAATCATGTAGATAAACATGGGCAGGAGTGAGAGCGAGCGTTTGCTCAGTCACACTTTTGACATTTTGTAACCTGTAATGAAGTAATATTTTTCACCACACTGCATACTGAGTCTGAATTAACCTTCTTTCTGTGACTTCATGACGTTTTCCATCGAGGTCGAGGAAAAGTGGCGAGGAAAAGACGTGTTTTTCACTTTTAAGTGATGAGCTGTGGCTCGGGCACCGTGTGTGTGTGTATAAATAGTGAGGCGCTGCAGCCTGCAGAGACACTCGGTCCTCCACTGAGAGCCCTCAAGCTGGGAGATGACGTCACCTGCTCAGGTGCAGCAGCTCTCCTGGATGCCTGGATGTTGATCATGAGCTCACCTGTGAGGGTTCAGTTAGTGTGTTACTCACACGTCGACCTGGCAGAGGTAGCAGTGGCAGTTCTCGATGACGTGGGCGTGCTTGGTGCGGTCGAACGCGGGGACTGGACTTCTGTCGCTCTTCGTTCGGACGTTGTAGTCGGCGGGGTCAACGGAGACGGCCATCACGTGGACACACAGGTGACAGACGAACAGGACGCCCGTACACTGAAGCACAGCTCAGGACTCACACACGAAGATGGGGACGTTACTGTTCCACTAGTTCCTCATTACAGGGACCCTCAAGTCCTAAAAAACTACTTCCTGTTTCATGGCCCTGACGCTGCCCTGTAGTGGTCCTGACGCTGCCCTGTAGTGGCCCTGACCTCCCCCGTGGTGGCCCTCACACTACCCTGTAGTGGCCCTGACCTCCCCTGTAGTGGCCCTGACCTCCCCTGTAGTGGCCCTGACCTCCCCCGTGGTGGCCCTCACACTACCCTGTAGTGGCCCTGACCTCCCCTGTAGTGGCCCTGACCTCCCCTGTAGTGGTCCTGACGCTGCCCTGTAGTGGCCCTGACCTCCCCTGTAGTGGCCCTCACACTACCCTGTAGTGGCCCTGACCTCCCCTGTAGTGGCCCTCACACTACCCTGTAGTGGCCCTGACCTCCCCTGTAGTGGCCCTGACCTCCCCCGTGGTGGCCCTGACCTCCCCTGTAGTGGCCCTGACCTCCACTGTAGTGGCCCTGACGCTGCCCTGTAGTGGCCCTGACCTCCCCTGTAGTGGCCCTCACACTACCCTGTAGTGGCCCTGACCTCCCCTGTAGTGGCCCTGACCTCCCCTGTAGTGGCCCTGACCTCCCCTGTAGTGGCCCTGACGCTGCCCCGTAGTGGCCCTGACCTCCCCTGTAGTGGCCCTGACCTCCCCTGTAGTGGCCCTGACGCTGCCCCGTAGTGGCCCTGACCTCCCCTGTAGTGGCCCTGACGCTGCCCCGTAGTGGCCCTGACCTCCCCTGTAGTGGCCCTGACGCTGCCCCGTAGTGGCCCTGACCTCCCCTGTAGTGGCCCTGACGCTGCCCCGTAGCGGCCCTGACCTCCCCTGTAGTGGCCCTGACGCTGCCCTGTAGTGGCCCTGACCTCCCCTGTAGTGGCCCTCACACTACCCTGTAGTGGCCCTGACCTCCCCTGTAGTGGCCCTGACCTCCCCTGTAGTGGCTCTGACCTCCCCTGTAGTGGCCCTCACACTACCCTCTAGTGGCCCTGACCTCCCCTGTAGTGGCCCTGACGCTGCCCCGTAGTGGCCCTGACCTCCCCTGTAGTGGCCCTGACACTGCCCGTGTATCGGCCCTGATGCTGCCCCGTAGTGGCCCTGACCTCCCCTGTAGTGGCCCTGACGCTGCCCCGTAGTGGCCCTGACCTCCCCTGTAGTGGCCCTGATGCTGCCCCGTAGTGGCCCTGACCTCCCCTGTAGTGGCCCTGACACTGCCCTGTAGCGGCCCTGACGCTGCCCCGTAGTGGCCCTGACCTCCCCTGTAGTGGCCCTGACGCTGCCCCGTAGTGGCCCTGACCTCCCCTGTAGTGGCCCTGACCTCCCCTGTAGTGGCCCTGACGCTGCCCCGTAGTGGCCCTGACCTCCCCTGTAGTGGCCCTGACGCTGCCCCGTAGCGGCCCTGACCTCCCCTGTAGTGGCCCTGACGCTGCCCCGTAGCGGCCCTGACCTCCCCTGTAGTGGCCCTGACGCTGCCCCGTAGTAGCCCTGACCTCCCCTGTAGTGGCCCTGACGCTGCCCCGTAGCGGCCCTGACCTCCCCTGTAGTGGCCCTGACGCTGCCCTGTAGTGGCCCTGACACTGCCCCGTAGCGGCCCTGAACACCGGGTGTAAGGATACGATATAGCCTGCAGGGATCCAGTGGGCGGGCAGAAGGGGAACGAACACGCCGAAGCCGGTGACGGCGAAGTAGACATAGAGCAACCAGGCCAGCAGCTGGAAGGGATGGGGGGGCCAGCTCCAGCCGTTAGTCCGAGAGCAGAGCGGCGCGTCGGCTCGGTGCGGGCCGTCCTCGCCGACCGGCGCCGTGCGGTTCGGGTTCCTACTGCACACGTCCATCCTGCACACAGATTCAACAGCAAAGACTCAGAGAGGACGGTCTGCATCACATGACCAGCAGATCAGCTGCAGCAGGATCACTGCACACCTGTCCAGGTGTGTAACAGCTAACAGCAGCTGATGATCTTTAAACACAACTAATCAAATCATTGATCTTCAGATGAACAAACATAATCAATGAATCCTTTGATTGATCTGCTGCTGATTAAACGGTTGCAGCTCGAACTTCTTCTGTGGGGAAGTGATCGACACTTACTGACATGACACTGTTATTCCACAGACCAATAAATCGATCACTGAGTGCATGATCATATCGATTAGCTGCTGCAGGTGCGTTCAATTTTACAGATCAAACGGTGGATCGATTCATCAGGGGAATGATCAGCACATGAATCCGTGATGAAGTGACCGTCAGCTGCAGCTCTGACGGTCACGTTTGTTTCATTGAAAGATCAATAAACGAGAGTATGTGTTCCAGTTTGGCAGCACCTGAGCGATTCAGGTACGAGAGGCAGCTCACCTGTTCATAAACGGCTAACGGGACTCGGGATGTGGATCCGTCCTCCGGTCCGCTGCATTTCCTCTAGAGTCCGGATCTGACCGTTCCCCGGCCCGGGAGGACCAGGCTGTCGCTGGGATGAACCCCTCGGCTCGGTTCCGTCCAGAGAAGCAGCTCAGATCCGGGTCAGACCACCACGGTCTGTTAGCTCACATCCATCCCGGCTGTTAGCTCGGTGCTAACCGGTACAGGCGTGTATTATCGGACACTGTTTATGTTAGCACGTTAGCTTCGGTGACTGGTTAGCGTGCTAACCGCTAATCTCGCCTCGTTAGCTGGACGCCGCTGCTGCCATGCTAGCTGGCTAACGGCGGCAGACGGTGACACCGGGCCTTTTAACGTCCACGGTGATTTGAAATATGTAACACGGTGATTCAGCTGTCCGGTAACCGACTAGTTAGCACGTTAGCATGTTAGCCTGCTGCTGCCTCCCTCCGCTCTGTACACCGTCTCCTAGGTAACGCTCCAGGTCCGCTGTTATTGGTCGGTGGAGCTGATGGCTCCGCCCACTTCAATTCAGCATGAATGCCAAAATAACCATGTTGCCAAAGCTTCAAATAAATGACAAAAGAACAGTTCAATTCATACAGTTCATTGAATAAAGCAAATCGCGTGGCTGTGGACATAAACTGATGTGTTTTAAGGGTTTGATCCCCTACACGGGTGGACGTGAAGAGAAAACTATTGGGAATGTCTGTTTTTCGCTGCAACCTAAAAGTAAGAATGAGGAGTCTGAGGAGAACTAAACAAAACGCTGGTGCATTTATTTTGGTCTTGCCCCATACCAAGAAACTTGTGTCACAATTTATTGTTGTCCATATTTACCCTCAATTTGCATTGCGGTGGGAAAATGTATAGTTTGCATTCACAAAAAATGACAAAGAAGAGTATTATGTGATACATTTGCTTATTATTTTAACCAAATTTTATTTGCACAAGTCACAATTCTTAAAAAAGAAGCCAAGCTTTCTGGAGCTTGCTGGTAACATTAAGCAGTATATTCTTTCAATATCTGAGTGTACAAACAAAAAAGCTGTTAAATCATGTGACCTCTGTAAGCTTTACCAGATATTTATTAATAAAACATTTCTTTTGCCTTTGTTTAGATTATATTTTCTTCTTGACCTCACTGGCTTATTTGTTATTTGTCTGTAGAGAGAAGAAGTTGTTTTGATTAAAAAAAAAAAAACTGATGTTGATGCAGCCACAGACTGTGTGAGCGTGCTGCGTCCAGCAGGGGGCAGCAGCTGCACGAAGGCTGGTGGGGGGACCACAGGTGTCATTTACCCTGGGGACAGTGGAGACATGAGTACTCCGGTCCCCAGCATCACTTTTAAAAAGCATCATTTGTTACAAATGTTCTGAACAACAGCACCAAGACATGTAAACGAAATGCTCGGAGAGAGGTTTATTTGCACAATAAGAAAACCTGCAGTGCATTTCAAATATAGAAACTACATGTCCAAAAAAAGGAACTTAAGCTACAAAACAAGTGACCCAAAAACCTGCACTGATCAGGAACTTTAGTTGTTCCAGTTTCTGTTGGTGACGTCTTGTTTCTCTAACGAGGCAGTTTAACATCTGCAGGTTAGTTTAGCTCACAGTGTGAACGTTAACAAGTTGTTTCTGTGTTGACAGCAGTGATGTTGGACCTGATGTTATCGTGGACTTGCCTGACCTGGCTCTTTCTGTACCGGAGATGTTGGACTGACCTGGTGTTGTAGGTGCGGGTGTGATGGATGTTACAGCCTGCGCTGCGCCCTCTAATGCACCGTGTTGTAAAACTTCTCCTGACCCGCCTTACGGCCTCATACTGGCCCCCGTTATAGTTCCTAAAATCATTTATTCTGAAAACGTAAAGTGTTTTCATCTGAGCCCTGATGTCCCCACCTCTTCTCAAGTGGGTAACAAACAGGTGAAGGAGGAGGAGGAGCATCAGGAGCTCGGTGTCCCTGAGCGGTCTGGCGAGGAGCAACATGATTTACAGTCACCTGATCTCAGATTCACACCTGTGAGACGGTGCTGGAGAGACCAGATGATCTGAGCTCTTCAGGTCTCTGTAGTCATGTCTGACCTTTGGTTCTGTCTCTGCTGAAGCTGGAGCCTCATGGAGGCCTGATCCAGACTCAGTGTATACACTGTAGCTGGTGCTGTTGCTGGTCCTCTAAAGGTTTTATAAAACCTGCTCCTGGGTCGGACTGAACTTCAGCTGATTTTCTGTTTTCTGAAATGGAACCTCCCCCGCTGATCTCCCAATGAGAAACATGCAGGAATCCACAGTTTGTTCTGCTCTAAACTTTTGGCTGCAGACGCCCCTGAGTCAGCTGACAGATGTGGGTCCCACAGGGGCCCTCGGTGGGAGGGGGGGGGGGGAATCAGACCACAAACCAGAGCCTGAGTTTACCTCGATGCAGAGAAGGAAGATGTGGTCGGCCTACAGGTTACATAACAGAGTCAGGATGGAGGAACGCCAAGACGGAGGGGGAACCCACCTACAGAACACACTCACACACACACTATTACACACACACACACAGACACACTATTACACACACACACAGCCGTGTCTGTCTCACATTTACCTACAGAAATAACAGCAAAGTCCCATGAAGACCAGGATCCAGATCTTCTTCACCAAAGCAGGGAAGCTGTTCTGCAGAACGTGCAGTGTTGTAGTCGAACATAAAGGAGATCGGCTCCTGACAGACACTTTGAGAGAGAATGTCAGAAACACATGGAGGACGTCAGAGAGACAGTGAGACACAGGCTGCTGCATCCCGCTCAGCTGCAGGAAAGAATCAAGGTCAGCTGGTTCAGATATGCAGGGTCAAGGTCAGGCCTCTCCTCGCACTGTCCCAACGGCACTAAACACTGAACAGCATTCACGGTGTGAAGTTGGACTCAGACATGTTAAACGGGTTAGAACCGGTTATTGTATTTACAGCTCATCAGCTTGTACGTGACTGACCAATGGGCTTCCATGTTCGCTGAACGTGAAGACGCCGCAGACAGAAGAAAGGTTACGGATGTGAATATCTACGTTTAAAGTCTTAAAGTGTCAAACAAGGGTTTAGTTTGTCCGCTGCAAACCAGACGCTGACCCTGAAACTGTCTCTGTCAGTGCGTCCGCACTACTTTGGGACATGCACAATTGCCCTTTGGCCAATTATATTAAGTCCCCGTTGTTCGTTTTTGCTAAGGTTGAATCCAGCCTCGTCAGTGTAAATACATTCATGCGGCTGGGCAGCTCCATCCATGTCCAAGATTACCAAAGCACACACCTACACTACTACACAAACAGAACTGCCCCACCCCACCACACAGGTACCTGTGTAGCGTTCTGAATGCATTTATATGGTACTGATCCAGTGGTACATATTCATCTGTCACTGGACTGCACCCATTCTGGATTGTAAATGTAGAGGACTGTGACACTGTACATATTCATGTTGAAGTTCTTTGACCCTGACACTGTTCCTCTCAAATGGGACCCTGTACAATTGCTTCTTGGTGACGCTGTGCTTTACCAAGATGCGTCTGATAGTGGTAACGCTTACTCGATTTATGTTGTTGAATACTTGCCTATCTGCGAGTATTTGTAGCTGTAGCTGGTGGAGATGGATTGCAGTGTTTGCTCTAACTAGGTTCACTATGGCAAGTTCTTTCTGTTGGGTGAACAGGAGTTGGCGTCCTCCCCCAGTAGGTCTTCTAGCCATTCTGTAGAAAATTGCAACCACAAATTGTTCTTGTTTCCTTCTTTTTACAGAACTGTATATACTGTACTTTACTGTATTTACCATACACAGAACTGAAACATCTCAACACGTTATCATGGTATGTTTCACAAAACCACCACTTTTGTTGGAAAAGGAGCATTAGCCACCCTGCAATACAGTACATGTGATACAGTAACGTGATGATGTACAGTACTGTAAATACTCTGGATACAGGCTGAGTAGAGCAGAGAGTTGAAGACATACCTGTTTTCCAGTCGGAATGTCCTTATTGTGGAAGAAACTGTGAAAAGGCTTAGATTAGGCTGGACTCTCTGCCCAGCTTCCCTCACAGTCGGGCTATGGTTTCTGACATGGTCCACCAAACTTGCTCTTATGTCATCCGAAATAATGGTCCTGTCTTCCTTTGCCTCCAGCTCTCCCTGCCTCCATGCTTGCAAAGCTCTCAAAATGGCTTAACTGGGGCCTTTTTGTAGCTGGCTGATTGGTGTTCAGTTTTGTAAGTAAGTATTTTCAGGTGTATGTCTGCATATTTTCAATTAATCAATGTGTGTTGTATTTTGAATAGATGTGTATTCCCAATGGTACCCTGAGAAGTGTCTTCTATATGAAATAGAAGACTTGCAACTAAAGTACAAAGCAGCGCTTTTGTTTAAGGTATGGTTACACTTTGTTAAAGGTATTCAACTTCAAGTTACTTTGGTTTAAGCATGTGTCTATAGTGTTCAAGCAATGGGTAAAAACTGTAAAAACTGAGATTAAATCTGTTGTTTTTATTCTTGATGAATGGATCTTATTCATATGCCTGGGACGGGCTGTGACCCTGTGGGGGTCACGTGACCTGATTTAGATTCATCAGGATTTAAATATGAGCTTTTCAGACTTTGTGTTTCCTCTCGTGTCTCCTGAGACTCAAGCCTCCACCTGTCTGCTCCAACCTGATGACATCACTGATCACTGAGAGCGACCTCGTCACAAACCGGCTGCCTCATTAAAAAGCTTCATTAGTGGAGACACGGAGCTGCAGTCCTGGCACACAGGACTGACCGGGTCAGACTGACCTGGACTCGACCTTCAGACCACAAACACAGAGAGGAAAGCTCTCTGCTGCCGGCTGTGTACAGAACCATCCAGAGTCCTTCGGTCAGTTTGAGTTTCAAACGGCAAAAATGTAGATTTCTCACAGAACAGATTTTAAAGCAGCAGCCGTGAGGACGCTCTCAGAGTTTTAAGTGAGCACTACAGAAGATCTGCTGGAACATTTGTTGAGCTGATAGGTAACGCTGGAGAAACAGCAGATCTAAAGGTGTGCTGCCGCTCACCTTTCTACTGATTGTTCCTCTGGCTTCAGGTTTACTGAGAGGTCCTCCCATGATCTCCTCATGCTTCACACCCTGTGTTGCTAATGCATCCACACTTTCATTTCCTTTACTCCCTCTGTGAGCAGGGGTCCACGTTTATCTTTTATTTTAAAATCTTTGACTGTTGTGCACAACAGTCAAAGATTTGATGCTTCGATGGGCGGAGCCTAATTCGACTGTCAATCTCACATCGAAGCTTCACAGCGAAACAAGGATCATGCCATTTGGCGATGTGGGGGTGCTCAACGTCTGATTTTACACAGAACTACCAGTTCTGAAACCTGTAAAGCTGCTACACTGAGAGTAAAACTGGTTGTTTTAGGACCTGTCTGTGTGAACTTGGACAAATGTTTGATAAAATGTTTGTAACCTATCTTCAACCAAGACGTCAATATTTCCAAAACCTTTGTGACCCTGCATTTTTCCAAGAAAATATAAATCCACTGACCCTGAAGGAAAATCCAGGCTGGTCTTAGTGATAACAGGACTGTAGGGACATTTCTTCTCTGACTGAGTCATGTCTGGGGACGCTGGAGACTTTTTGAATTGGCTGATTTTGTCCCCATCACTTTTTGAAAGCATTTGTTAACTTCTTGCAACAAAAAATGTTAAATTACAAATGAAATTGCTTTGAGCATTTTTATTTGCACAATAGGAAAACATGCAATGCAATTAAAATCTAGAAGAAACCCATGCACATTGTCCAAGAAAGTAATTTGAGCAACCAAGAAAAGCTACAGAATCCTGCTTTATATTCCATTATATTTTTATATTTTGAATTGTCACCTGAATTTACACATTTAGGCTACACATTGGTGCAGAAAATGTCCCCAGAATGCAGGAAATTAAGAGTTTAATGCTCAGAATCTTCTGAGGGAGGACCCCCCCACTC